TATAATCATTTATGTGGAAAACTCTCGGAAACTGGAGTTTCTTCACTTTTAGGTAAATATTTCTAAACAGCCCAGAACAGAAAAAAGCGCCCCTAAACAGAAACACCGCGTTTTTCCTAACGTTTTACTGTATGCAAAAAAATTAAAATATCGATTTTACAAGAAAAAATGTTGTTGACCTTTTTATTAGATGTGAAAATTCCAGCCTCGGGTCTCCTGAAGTTTTAATAAAACAATTATAACTCATTAGCCGATGAGTTATAACTCGGTAAGTCAGAGAGCGGCAACAACTCAATGGCGAAACTCAACACAGTGTTACCCAGGGAACAACACTGGTTGAAGCACAAATGAAACGTTTCCCGACAGACTAAAATGTATTTTATCGAATGAGTGTCGTGCCCGAAGGGCTCCGCACAACAAATACCTTAAACTCTGGTAGAAATCTGAAAGTGCCGCTTTAAAGTGTTAGACGTGCCGGAGCGAATCCGGACTCCAGTTGTGATTATGTAATAATTTTATTTTTTCTATTGGTTTTTTGTACTAATTTTTTAGGCTCTTGCTGCGAGACCAACACCCAGCTTTAACTTGCTTTGCTCATAACTAGAACAATCCATTTTTCCAATTGTTCAATTTTCCTAGATATTCCGACGACAAACCCGCTCAAAAGTTTTTTTAAATCTGGACTGGTTGTTTATATGTTTTCGTGTAGACAATCAGGCAAAAGGATGTTGTTAATTAAGAAAAATTAATGAAGTTAATCAGACGGTTTGATCTCGGCATCGTGTAAACAAGGTCTTCACATCAATAAATCTTCCGGAATCGAACAAATCAATAGACAAGGTGATAAAACAAGTAGCAATCGTGGCATCAGGAATTTTTTCCCCCAATTAAAACAATCCGGTTGATGGAGTATTTTTGCGATTATTATGTTGAATGTTAAATGAATATTAATCCCCAGGACCCCTCCTAGGTGGTTTATTTACGATCGCCATTTGAAATGACATTTTCGATTTGATTTAGTGCTGTATTGAGCAGCTCAACATACTGATGGTGACTTTGGCCTATTTTCCACATCACGTTTAAGCTGCCAGTTTTATGAGCACTATTATCAATTCGTTTTGTTGCGCAACAAGGGACTTTTCAGCATGCAAAGTCTGTTGTTCTTCCTGCTGGCGGCATCTTCAGCTAATTGTGACTCATTCTAACCCCGGCGACCTTCTTCTTTACGCGTCATAGGCCAAGAAGACGAAGATAACCTTCCGAGTCGGTTCACTGAAGATAAGGAGGAAAGCAGAAGACTTTATTAGCGTTGCTAATGTCACATGACTAAGCTTCGGGCCGGCAAAAGAGGCGATTCGACTGCCAGATTTCAATCAAAAACACTCCTAGAAGTTTTAACTCGAATTTCCTCCTCTCTGGGTGTCGGCACGAGAAAGAACACAAAAATCCATCCGGATGTCCACTTTATGGCACTCGAGCGCACCGTTCGAGTAGAAAATTTAATTATAAAATCTAAATTCGAATTAATCGGGGCGCTTTTTAAATAATTAACAGTGCTGTGGCTCAATAAATTCCGTCCACTAATTTCCATATTGTATTTTATGAATACGGGAGTGTTAAAACTAAATTTAATAAACCCGTAATGATCCACCCAGTTAGCCATATAAAAAGCTAATTTACTGTCTTTCTAAGGCCATTAGTTCGAACATTTTAAATTGAATAGTAAAAAGGCTGTCATCAGCTTGAATCATGGCCTTCATAAAGAAAAACCCAGTGAAAACTGCTGTCTGTTTTCTTACGCAATTGGGAATTTGTTGCTTTCAATTAACAGACAGTTTTGTAGCTGAATCTACGCGATTTCTAGCAGAAGTTTTTAGTTTTCTTCAGGGCCTTTGCGAATATTTTTAATATGGACAGTTTCGAGTGAAGGTTTTGGGTCAGTTTACATGCAAGAAACGGCGTGTTTTTTAATTTTGATTCATCATTTCACCCTCTAAAAGGAAAAACGGATTTTTGCTGAATTTTTCCAATCTGAGTAAGAAAAGCTTTGGCGCTTTCGAACAAAACGAAACACATTTTTGTCAGTCTAATTGTTCGTTCATTCGAAAGTCAAAAAATGGGTCTAAAAAATGAATTTTATGTCAATGTCCTGAAATTCGCATTTTTGTGTCTAAATGATTCTCAATTACAAAACTGAAAGCATTTTGCCAAACTTGGAAAAAAAAGTTTATTTCTTTAGAACAAACAGCGAAGGTTTTTTGGTGTGGTTCCGACCGATCTTAAAAATTCAAAAATTGAATAACCAAAATGAATAAAGCCAAAATTATTTCCGATTCTCTTAAAAATCGCATTCGTATCGCTAAATAATTCTCAATTAGAAAACCGTTTTTAATTTTCGCCACTTTTTGAAACAAAAAAATTCTTTGCACTGCTTTCCCATAGAATTGTAATCATTTTCTACGTTATTCCGGCGTATTAATCCTTCAATGTCTTGAAAATCGCATTCTTGTCTCTAAATTATTCTCAATTAAAAACGTGAGGAAACTTGACCAAGTTTGCATAAAAATATTGGTGATTATTTTCCATGTTGTTGCGGCAAATGATTTTTAATTGAAAAACTTGAAACATTTTGCTCAACTTTTGACAAAAAAATCTTAATATCTTTCGAACAAACAGATCTTCTTCGTACGTCTAATCGCTCATTGATCTCTAGCGGCTTTCCATAGAATTGTGAATTGTTTCAATGTTTTTCTGGTCGATTTTTTAAATTTCCAAAATAGGCTTGGAGGAAGTGAATTGAGCAAAAATTGTTATTTTTCACTGTTCTGAAAATCGCACTCTTTTTTTCTAAATGATTTTTAATTGAAAAACTTGAAACATTTTGCTCAACTTTTGACAAAGAAATCTTAATCTCTTTGGAACAAACAAATTATTTTCTTCGTTCGTCTAATCGCTCTTTGATTTGTAACTGCTTTCCATAGAATTGTGAATTATTTAAATGTTTTCCTGGCCGATTAAAAAAATTTCCAAAATAGGCCTGGAGGCACTGAAGGGAGCGAAAATTATCTTCCAACGTTCTGAAAATCGGATTCTTTTTTTCAAAATTATTTTTAATTGAAGAACTGGAAACATTTTGCTCAACTTTTGACAAAAACATCTTAATCTCTTTCGAACAAACAAATAATTCTCTTCGTTCGTCTAATCGCTCGTTGATCTCTAGCTACTTTCCATAGAATTGTGAATTTTTCGATTTTTTCTGACCGATTTAAAAAATTCCCAAAATGGACCTGGAGGAACTGAATGGAGCGAAAATTATATTTCAATGTTCTGAAAATCGCATTCTTTCTTCAAAATTATTTTTAATTGGAAAACTTGAAACATTTCGCTTAACTTTTGGCAAAAAACCTTAATCTCTTTCGAACAAACAAACTATTTTCTTCGTTCGTCTAATCGCTCGTTGATCTCTAACTGTTTTCCATAGAATTGTAAATTATTTCGATGTTTTCCTGGCCGATTAAAAAAATTCCCGAAATGGGCCTGGAGGAACTGAATGGAGTGAAAATTATCTTTCAATGTTCTGAAAATCGCATTCATTTTTCTAAATCATTTTTAAATGAAAAACCTGGAACATTTTGCTCAACTTCTGACAAAAAAAAATAATCTCTTTGAAACAAACAGATAATTTTCTTCGGTCGCCTAAGCCCTCGTTGACCTCGACGTTTTTCTGGCCGATTTTAAAAATTCAACAAATGGGCCTGGAGGAACTGAATGGAGCGAAAACTATCTTTCTAAAAATTTACAATTTAAACACTTGAAGCATTTGCTCAAATTTTCACAAAAAATCCTAATCTTTTTAGAACAAACCGAGATTTTTGTAGTTTTCGCAGAACTGTGGTTCTTTCGGATGCTTTAGGGCCAAAATCGAAGGTGTTGCCTCCGAATGCCAACATACCTTTGAAGATGCAAAATATGCGTATTAGCGAAACGTCGGGACCCTATTATTCAATGAGGAATGATTCAGTTTGTTAAAAATAAAGTTCAATACTCCAAGTTTGGCTTCAAGTTGAATTTCTTGGCTTCCAGGTCTTTTGAGCAATGGCTAAAAGATGCACGCGAAACCCCCAACCATTTTTTGTCTTTGACTTGTTCATCTGTAATTTCAGAAATAACTTTTCCAGCGTTTTTTAACTGGAAGGTTAATTCCCATTATTAAACCCTTCCGCTGAGTGTGAGATGGACATCACATTAGGAAAAACGCTTTGCTAATTATTAACCGATTCATCATGCTTAGCGGACAGTTGACTGCCCCGATTCCGGTCGGCGACATAAATCGAATCCACAATGAAACAAACAAGTTATATCGTTGCAATACAAGAGCGATATTATAAAGGCAAAAGCTAATATGAATATTTATTAGCGCAAGGGGAGGTCTTGTTCGAGATACTTTTAAATCGCTAGACTGGTCATAATTCTAGTTTTTGTGGTGCTGACTGACTCGAAACTGTCGTCCAAAGGGGCTCTGGGGACATGCACTAGGAGGCACTACATGCGTTTTAACGTTGAGGAAAAATTCGTTATTTATGGCATCAGTTAGAAGCAAACGAGAAATTTATCAGCAACTTTTTAACAGTTTTAGTGAAAGCTTGAAAGCTGAGTGCATTTTTTTGGGTTTTCAAACCAAACAAACAGTTTTTCACTAAGTCAGTTCGCCTTGAAGATTCGCGAAAAACATTTACTTACGAGTGGCTGACTGAAGGATTAAATTGAGCAAGTAAATTTTATGTGTGTACAGAAAATCATTTAAACTTATCTTGTGTTGGATTCCTGCAAAAATCCGAAAATGTTTTCTCAATCAGCCAAGTTTCTCTAATCCAGTTTTTCTTCAAGACTTAGGCGGCATTGAGTCGAAAACTTGCGGATAAACTCATCAGTTCCTCAGCTGATTCTTTAAGTTTGTTTGAAATTTGGCGGACTGTTTTTTGTTGACATAAAACTCTACATTGGTTCGTCTGCTCAACAAAACAGTGACTTTGACTTTATATTATTGCCTGATTTCAGCTGCAAATCATTCTCCACATCCACAAACAACCTGACTTTAACCATGTAAAAGCAAACACACAGATCAGCATCAACCGTCCTAAAACCAACACTTTTCCTCGCTGTTTGGATAAAACCAAGCAACTCAAACCGAGCCTTCTGGTTGTTTCGCATCGAAATAAAAATCCGGAATTGAGCAGGCATCACATTTTTTACCATCAACGATGGCTAATTAAACAAACAATCGCCAATTCACACGCCAATCGGTGTCTGCAGGGCAAAAATGCGCCCAACAAATTCCTCAGCTTCACAAGACGTATTAGGCAGAGTTAATTAGCAGTTTTTGGTGATCGCCCGTCTCTCAGTTCTGCACCTTCCAAAGGCCTGGTTACGCGGGAAAATTTATTGTTGCTAATGATACGGTTCGACTAAACATTGAAAAAATGCCGGCCGAGGCTTGTTGATGGGCAAATTCGCATGGGAACGGCCGAGAAGGTCGCTTTGCAACAGCAGTTAGAACTTGCGGGCGCCCTTCAAGTCCTGCTGGATTTCTTCCAGGGTTCTGCCGCGGGTTTCCGGGACGATGCTAAGAGAGAGCGCGCAGGAGCCGAAGGTGCAAAGGGCGAAGAGAGCAAAGGGCGCATAGAGGCCGAGCTCATTGCTCAGAGTCTTGAAGATGGTGGCAGTGAAGAAGCAGATGACGCCCATGAAGACGTTGGCCACCGCCAGGCCTTTGGCCTTGATGCTTGCTGAGAACAACTCCCCAGCCATCAAGCTAGGGAGGATGCCCAGGCCGAAAGCGTAGAAGAAGATGTAGAGCAGTAGGCCCGCAATGGGGAACCAGCTGAAGCTGGCCAGGTCCAGCCCCGGCCGGAATTCGTCGATGAAGAAGTAGCAGGATTCGGCAGTCAGGCACAGGGCGCAGCCCAGGGCGGAGAACACAAAAGACTTGCGTCTTCCCAGCTTGTCCAGAGTGAAGGAGAACCCGGTCATGGCCAGCCAGAGCGCTCCAGAAAAAACCAGGGCCGATCCTTGTGGAGTCAAGGCCGTAGGCCCAGCCTTCTGGAAAATGAACTGGAAGTAAGTCTCAAACACCGCAATTCCTGCCAGCTGCTGCGCCCATCTGAGGAAAACGCAGGCTATCAGCGCCCTGCGGTTGCTCCTGATCATCCACAGGTCCCTCCAGGTGCCCGTCTCAGAAACCTGCCGATCCACGTCCTTTTTCAGGCTCTGGAACTCTTCGTTGACGTTCTTTTTGCGCAGCAAAAACTGCAACGAACTACGCGCCTTGGCGTCCCGCCCTTTGGCTATGAAGTAGTAGGGCGACTCGGGCATCCACATAAAGAGCGCAGTGAACAGAACAGGCAGGCTCAGAAACACACAGGCGGTGGTCTGGATGGTCAAGAAACTGCCTGAAATGTACTACAATTACTGCAGGTAGTATAATTTCAGAGGCCGAAAGTGAGAGATTGTAGTAAGACCACCACCCATAATAAAAACACTCTCTTATTACCAGTTGCGCTCATAACAAAGAACCCGGCATTAAAGGAAAACGTCTGCCCGTTTCCCCATGTGCCTCTAATTTTGGGCGTGGTCACCTCTCCCAGATACATAGGCAGCACCGCGTACATGATGGCATCAGCTGCGCCCCCTACGAACCGCGCCACGCACAACCAAACGATATCCCTGGCAAAAATCGTGATTATCCAGTAGGCGGCCTGGGGAATGCTCAGAAGGAGCAGGGCGCCCTTGGGGCCGATCCAGCAGGGCAGTTTGTAGAAGAAGAGGGCTGGAATCGAACACCCTGCAAAAGAGCAGGAGGGCAGCTAGTTTCCAGTCGTAAAACTTCCTCTAGTTCAATGGTACCTAAAGAAGACACTATTGGAAGATAGTTGGCGTCGTTTTCCGAGATGTTGTACTGTAGGGGCAGGATGGGGATGTAGACCGACGACCAGGTGAAGATCAACGAGCTGGTAAGGCCTGGAATGCAGGCTGGGCCAGCAAACCATTGGGGTTTAGACACTAGTTGGGTTTCCCCGGTTAAAGCTCACCTATGATGATGGTCAGGATTTGGGGCCATTCTGCTGCAGGCATCTTCACTTCACCACAGCAACATCAAGCAGACACCGAAACCTTCTAAATCAGGTTGTGTCAAGATAAGGAACAATCCACTGTTAATTAAACAAGTAGAGCAAACTTTCCAAATCCTTTGAATCCTCCTCGGCCTCCTGCGGTAACAAACGCACTTAATTTAGCCCACTTGGTGTTTTTTTCGTTATCTTAGACGGAACAATATTAACTCAACATCACGCGTACGCTAAATGCATTATTAATAATCTGTTGTTAATTTGCTTCGAAGTGACAAAGGAAAAATCCAGTGGGCCACCGCGGAATGTCCGTGTGTGGGACACTTTATGGCTTGTGATGTACATTTCAAAAACAATCGACACTTCATTGATTGTATGCTAAAATCAAAGTTACACAGGACATTTTTTCCCCACGCTTAAGTCGATTGAGAAATTCCTTCAGTGTCATTTCTAGTGGTGGCCTTTAAAGGCCGTTCACGAAACAAACAAAAGCTGCAGAGCAAAAATGTTTATGCATCGACCTTGTTGCAGAATCGGTTAATTTGCTCAATTTGAAGTTGTTTTAAAACGACGTTGTTTCATAGGATTTATAGATTTACAACTGCAACATTCATTCAAATGTTCCCACAAAAAAATCCAATTTAGTTAAATTAGAACGTCTTGGAGGCCAGTTAACAGGAGATTACTGATCCGCGAAATTTCTGTCATAAAAAAATAGTGTTCCACTCGAGAAACCACACCAAAAATTTGCGATGTAAAGGCTTCTCATGAATCGCTTATGGCCGTTCAGGGGACAAACATCTAAGGAAATCATTCACTAAGGCTTCTGGTTTAGTAAAAGTTTGAGTCCAAAGAAATACATTGAAGAGAACATTTATTTCAACTTTGTGCTAAAATGCACGCTTCTTGTATAATGGAATCCAATAAATTGCCAAATTTCAACAAGCTTTAATGCAACTTTACTTCATAGTTATTTATTCAAATTTCTGCAAGCTAGTGTGTCTGAAAAAACTTCTGAAACAATCTGCCCTGCAAAACCTTCCCTGCCTTGCAAAACCAAAAAACCCTGCAAAAACCTTAATTGCTGTAACAGGAAAACATTTACAGTTCATTAAAAACTGAGAAGTTCTTGAGTCAATGTATGATATTGAAATTTCGCTTTCCACGCTCAAAATACTTGAATTTACTCACTCATGTTGTTACGACTGAATCGAATTTTCAAATTTCAGCAAAAAAACGATCAATATTTAATTTTAACTCGTCAATGGTTTGAGGTTTGCTCCCAAAGATCAACCAGTTAAATCACAACTTCTTACGTTGCATTTCTGGAGATGATTTATTCGCCAAACTTTCTGTCCCGTTATCTCCCTATATCTATCTATATCTTGTTGAAGCCACAAGTTTTCCAAATCGATTTTACTGAATGGTGACCATAAAAAATATAAAATTTGGCCTCTAAAGCAGTCTAAATTGAAGATTGTGAAACATTCCGTCCAAAACCCAAAAGATCCTTCGTTTCAAATCGTTGTGTTCGGAGGACCAGCGGCTCTCCTAGAAAAAGCTAGTAAAACGTTGATTATAATCGTAATGATGAGGGAAAATCCCTAACCATCAGACTGTCAGAGTGAACAGCACCTAAACATGGTGTAGCATTCAGGCCTCAATCCTCCATTTCCATTAGTGTGACTGGATGTGCACGTTTAACGAAACCCGAAGCTTGTCAGCCATCAGTCGAGCCATCACCCGCTGGCTGTATTGATAACAGATTGTGGTTCTGTTTGGTGTCTGCACCGTTTGGTGCCGCCGTTTAAGAACCGACCGGGTCGAGATCAAGCGGCCGTTGCCATTCATCATGGACGGCCGATTGACCAGATCTGGCCCTAGCAGATTAGTGAAAATGGTAATGAAACGGGGCAAAATTCGTGTTCGTTTGCATCTTGCCGCTGAACATCGTTAGGTGTAATTGATATTCATAAAACCGTCGGTACAGGGGAGCACGTACAAAGTACATTTACCAGCGGAAGATGGAAAAAACGCTCGTTTCCAAGAGTGTCCCCTCGGCATCTTCAAAGTATCACGTCTAGTTGTGTGTGTGTCTCGCCCAAGTGACCTCTGACATTCGGCATAAAACACAAAGAGACAAATCTGCATACTCGCAGAGGAACCTGCTGTATACACCATTGTTTCCGAGATGCTGAAACACGATATCGGAGGCACTTTTTGTCGTGCTTCCTTGTTAGATTCGTATTATTAAACGTTATTAGTAAATTCTCCTTGTTTCGGAATTCCGAGTCACAACTCGAATAATATCTAAATCACGATTGGGACCGTTACCCAGCCGAATCGAGGACGCTGAAGAGCACACTCTTCCTTAACAAACCTTCATGAGTCTGATTCCGCGTATTTCAACCATTTTTTCCTCACCAATTCAACCAAATTTGATGCAAAAAAATCAACTTCCTCTTGTCCTTTTGTATAAACTTCTCCCAGATCAGTAGAAGATTTCCTGCAATTTGTTTTAGTGTCGAGTTGTGAAGATTAGTTGTTTTTATGTGCAAAGTGACGCTATTTGTAGAATGGGGGAACTTGGAGAAACTCGCTCGATTCAACATCCCCTAATCCTTCCACAAAATTTCCAAATGATTCCAGCCTCAGAAAGTTAAAACTGCTGCCAAGACAATAATAGCAACCAGTAATAAATGTGGGCAATAAACGTGAATATAAACAATAGGGAGCAAACAGTGAAGCATTCACATGAAGAGTGCCAATGAGACACAGAATAAGTGAACATACAAAAATTTTAAAAATGCTAGAGCCCTGAATCACACACAAAGAAAAATAAGTTGCAAAGAGATAAAGAAGGGAATCTTATAAGGAGGGGAAAGTTTCAAAATGTTGAGATCTTTTTTAAGAATTACTATAAGAGAATCTAAAATGGAAAAATCTGAAATCACACAAACCACAAACGAAGACATTGCAAGCAAAATTGGAAAAAGCATAATGGACAAAGTAGTAGGAAAGTTGGAGAAAAAATACGCAGATATAAGTAAAGTAATATTATGGAAATATTTCGAAAATTTGCCAATAGAAACCAGTGAAAACCGGTGCAATATACGGGAATATAAACAGTAAAAAGCGAACATTTTGGTGTTCAGCTAAAAAAGTGTCAATTAGACAGAGACACACGGAATAGGTGAACATACAAGAATAAAAAAATGCCAATGCCCTAAATCACTCACAAATAAAAATAAGTTTCAAAAAGTTAAAAAGGGAATCGTATCAGGAGGCAAAAGTTTAAAATTGTTGAGCAGAACATTTTTAAGAAAAACATTACTAGAAGAGAATATAAAATAGAAAAATCGTCACGAGAATTTTAGGTTTCTTGTTGCTGATTAAATCTGCGAGTTAACTCGAATGTCTTTCAGTTTAGATTCGAGCGAGTTACAGAGAAGTAGAAAAAGTTGAAAACGACAGTAATAAAAAGAAAAAGTATGAAACGAAGGTGGAAGTAGAATCGATTAAATCACACAAACCACAAACGAAGACATAGCAAGCAAAATTGGAAAAAGCATAATAGAGAAAGAAGTAGAAACGTTGGAGAACAATTACGCAGATAAAAGTGAAGTAATATTATGGAAATATTTCGAAAATTTGCCATTAGAAACCAGTGAAAACTGGTGCAATAAACGGGAATATAAACAATAGAAAACGAACAGTTTGATGTTCAACTGCAAAAGTGTCAATGAGACAGAGACACACGAAATAGGTGAACATACAAGAATAAAAAAATGCTAAAGCCCTGAATCACGCACAAAGAAAAAGAAGTTGCAAACAGTTAAAGAAGGGGATCGTATAAGGAGGCGAAAGTTTTAAAATGCTGAGAAGAACATTTTTAAGAAAAACATTACTAGAAGAGAATATAAAATAGAAAAATCATCAAGAAATTTTTAAGTTTCTTGTAGCCGATTAAATATGCGAGTTAACTCGAATGTCTTTGAGTTTAAATGCCAGCGAGTTACAGAGAAGTAAAAAAAGTTGAAAACGACTGAAAAAGTTGAAATAAAAAGAAAATTAAACGAAGGTGGAAGTAGAATCGATTAAATCACACAAACCACAAACGAAGGCATTTTATGCAAAATTTGGAAAAGCATAATAGAGAAAGTAGTAGAAAAGTTGGAGAAAAATTCCGCAGATAAAAGTGAAGTAATAGTATGGAAATATTTAGAAAATCTGCCTATAGAAACCAGCCAAAACATGTGCAATAAACGGAAATATAAACATATAAACAATAGGAAGTGTACAGTTTGGTGTTCACCTGAAAAAGTACCAATGAGACAGAAGCGACGCACAGAATAAGTAAAAAAATAAAACTAGAAAAATGCTAAAGCCCTGAACCACACACACAGGAAAATTAGTTGCAGAGAGGAGGGAATCATAAGAAATAATAAGCATTACAAATAAAACTGAAATACGGTCAAAAATCGAAATTTCAGAACCGCGTTTTTTGGACCAATGGATTGTTTCCGATCTAACAAGCTTCCCAATATCCAGAAATAAAGTTTCCCAGTTGGATAAGAAGGAAGAAATCGTCAGCAGCGTCGTAAATGTCCACCCTTGTGAAATTTTGGTAAAAAAAATAAAAATTTCACATCCGAGTTTGAACAAAAATTCCTCCAAGGGCCCAAACACCGGTAATTGGGATAATTGGGAAGCTGTTTAGGTCGAAAGCAGTAAAAAACTGACATGTAATTTTTTTTGGCCGGTGAAAAGAAAAAGTTGCTGTTTTCGAAAAAATCCAATCTCGGCAAATGCCTCAAACACGGTAAATTTGCATAATTGGGAAAATCCGAATAGGTAGCAGTCATAATCTTATCAACAAAGAGCCAACATCGAAATAAAATATAAGACAATTTAGATAACAGTATGGTTGGTTTTGGGTGGAAAGGTGCCAGTTGACACGCGATTTTGTCCTTAGGATGGGAATTAATCGTTCAAATAGAGGACACGCACCGATTTATCGGGTTATTTTGATAAGCCGGACAAATGGACAGGCAACACCGAAGATCTCTTCGGATAAATGGGCCGTTTTCCTTATTGCCCTGGCGGATGGAACGACATTTTATTGCGATATTATTGACCAAATTTACATATTACAATCCC